ATGTAACCAGCCTAAGTGCTCATCAGCAGATGAATAGATAAAGAAAATGGGGTATATGTATGTGTATGTATATGTGTTGTGTGTGCAGAGAGAGAGAGAGAACAAAAATGTATACACACTTCAGGGAAAGGAAAATTTGCATGAATATTTTAATACTAAATTGATTGAGACATCACAAGTTTAATACAAGTTACCTTAGACCTCTACAATTACAAGAAATGGTCAAAGTCATAGCCATTAGCTTCCAGACATTTTTTTCAGCACAGCAAGCTACTGCTTGGGTAACATTGGTCAGTGAGATTAGATTTTCAATTTCTTCTCTAAGGCTAGTTAGTATAGTGGGTTTCTTGTGATATACTACATCCTCTAGAGTCCTCCATTTGAGGGTAATACCATCTGTTGAAAAAAATACATTTTTTTTCTTTTCGTGGAGTGTTTATACATTTTGGTAGACTATATACAAATATTATTTACCCACAAAAAAGAATAACATGTCATTTGCAGGAAAATGGGTGAATCTATAGGTCATCATGTTAAGCAAAATAACCAAGGCTCAGATAAGTATCACATATTTTCTCTAATGCATAAAATTTTGAAAAGACAAGAAAATAAAAAGGCAGGATGAAAATAGATGGGAGACTATTAGACAAGAGGAAGGAAATTTGGAAGAATAGTTGTGATCAAATATATCCATGTATGGAAATGTTTGTAAAGTTAATGTGCACAAGAAAGTTTAGAACTCACTGGCATATTTAAAAGTGTTACAGAGTTCAGTTAGAGCCCTACAGGAAACCTCAGAATTCTGAAATAGGATATATACTCTTTAAGTAATCCTGGTACAGGATTATTTTTGGACATATTCTTGTATTGCAATGCACCATTCACATAGTTCCTCTCAAACTGTGGACATAGATAACTTTTCAACATAATTTATTCTATAAAATTTTTGATGGGTTAATGACACCTGCTGGGCAACCAGCATCTTTTTTGTTTCCATATCTAAACTGAAAAGATTGACAAAATCTGGCTTACAAATGATTGGCAGAAGTGTAATTCTGTACACTTGAAGTGTTCCATCTTCATGTGGTCCAGGGTGATGGGACTTTGTTACATATTCATTAACAGTGATACAGCCATCGATCATAAGTTTTCTAATAGCAATTAATGACAGTTAATACTATAATGAGATTATAGTCTCAGCGCTTGGAACGTGTATTGTTGACAGTGAAATCTAAAGAAAAACTGACTTCTTACCATCCATAAAGGCAATTTATTTATTTATTTGGTACCGGGGATCAAACTTGGGACCTTGCACTTGTGAGGCAGGCGGCAGAACCATTGAGCTGAATCCCCGACAGCAATTTTTTATGGATAGATTCTGTGCTTCTCATGCCAGATGTTCTCTTCCTTTCATTCTGTTTTGTTCTAATTTTGGTGTCTACCACCTGTAATATTCTAATGGGAGGAAACTTCTCAAATTCAAGAATGGGTTATAGTATTTTTTCAATAAAGTTCTGAAGTACCAAGGGTACCAGCAAGAAATCTCATTGTATCCATTATGGCAGTAGCATTCTTATAATAGCTACAATGGGTGCTCAGAAAAATCAATGTGCTCAATTGATTTTTCTCAGGTCTTTAAATGTTTAAGCCAATACCTGACCTTTGCAATGTCTCTTGATTGTAGGTTATATCTGGGACTTTCAGGTGAAGAACTAAAACTTGTGATTTTGTTATGCTACCCCAAATAATCTTTTGGATGTGGCTGAAAATGCCAATTTGAAAATAATACTCATGGGGATTAGGAATGAACACTTCTTGCTTGAAATATTGTGATTTATCTTTAGTACTTACTATAATCAGTTCATGCCTTTGAAATACTGAGCTGTCTGACAGCTTAAAATCCTAAGTTTCCTTCAAATTTGAGCCCAGCTTTGAAGGAGAAAGGAGGAGCGTAAGGCTGGATTTTCTACAAAGCTCTCTGGAGAGAATTCACTTAAATGCATTTGCTGGCAGGGCACTGGGAATGTTAGCAGGCTGCTTCTTCTCAGTCCTGTTTGGGTTTTTCCTCTCACCTAGATCAACATTTAATCAGATAATTTCTTGTCAGGGGTACAGAAGTCTGTTTTGGGGGCCTTGTTAAAAGTATCATTTTCTTTTCATGAAGAATCATGGAAAAGGGACCAGATGTACTGTCTAGGTTTCTTAAGCCAGTTGGATATTAGGTAAAGCCTTGATGCTTTTACACTCTTTAACTTTCTCAAAGCTGGATGTGTATTTCTCATCTAAGTTGGGAAACTGAATTTTTGTAAAAATGTCTTTAATGCTTATCAAATACTACTTTACAAGAGTCCTTTCTTTGTGAATATAGTTGGGCATCATATATAGAGAGAATACTAATGTAAGATCTTTATTTCCATGTTAATGTAAACTTATAAATGGGTCTCCAAGATTTGAAACAGAGAGAGCAATGGGCAGTAGAGATAAGGGTTTTAATCCTATACCCTTGTCTATCTTTTATCACATTAAATTGTTTCTTCATCCATATAGTGTTAGTAATGCTACCCACCCATTCTTAACTTAGAATCAATGCAGTATGAGTTCTGATATGTCTTATGAATTAGAGGTTCCATTCTACATGCAGATTTTATTATCAGAATAACTATATTTAGAGTAAGCCTTTTTGAACTTAAAATGTATCATAATTATCAAAGGCATTTAAAGAAGTAGATGCTAACTAAGTTTTGAAAGCATATTTTTAAGAATGCAAATACAGAAAGAGCCCTTCATATATCACAATGGAAGAGGTAACATCTGACCTTTAAGAAACATCTTGATTTCAGGTATACAGAGAAGGTGAAAGTAAAAATTCCAGATAGAAGAAATCTTATATGAAAAAACACCAGGCAGGGATGGAATTCAAATATTTAAATAGAGAGAAGATGGTACCTAAAATATAAGTATAATGTTGAAAATGTGAAAAGACAATATTCTGACCTTTTATTCTGTACTAATTTTAAAAGGCTCGTACTACTTGTACATGTACTAGTTTAGAAATTAATGTTTAATCTCAACTAAGGAGAAACCTAAATTCTCTGGGTTAAGGGGGACAGAAAGTAAAGTTAGCATAATATTCTAAGCTTCATCATTGAAGATTTCCTGGAGAAAGGGATTTTTTTGTTTGTTTTTTCGGTTTTTTTTTTTTTTTTTGAGACAGAGTCTCATTATACAGTTGAGATTGACCTGAATCTCACTATGTAGCCCAGGCTGGTCTCGAACTCACAGCGATCCTCCTACCTCAGCCTCCCAAGTGCTGGGATTACAGGCGTGCACCATCACGCCTGGCATTGGAGAAAGGGATTTTAGAGGAAATTGATAAGGAAGATTTGTAGAGACCTAGAAAGCAAAAAAGGATGCTCTATTCTGGGATTTGGACAGTTGATGGATATTGTGAACTGAAGTCATTAAAGAAATGTATGAATTAAAGGTAACAAGGAATGTTAATTTATACTATTCATTCATCTTCACTCTTGGCTTTAGAACCACTTAAAAACCTGTACACAAAAGTTTGCTGTTGCTTGTTCTGCTCTTTATTTATTTTTTTAATTGAGTTTATTGGTACATTTTAGGTTTTCAGTACAGTTCCATTCATTATTGGGATCTTGTACCTTTATATAATAGGTCTTGGTTCTCATTTTTTCCCCTTGTCCCTGCCCTCCCTTCACCTTCACCCCCTTGGTCTGCTCTTTAAATTCCCATCTTGCCTATAAATTGAGATTGTGTTTTGAGACTTTTTCTCATCTTGTATCCTTCTCTGTTTCTTCCTATTTTCTCACAAAATGAGAGACTGTTTTCAGATGAGCTTTTCCTGTCATGCTGCTATGCCTATTTCTGCTTCCTACATTCGTCACCTCAGGAGTGTCTTCCCCATTTTCCTGTCAGCCATATGAGCTCAATCCACATTTTGAATCTGAGGCTTCAGAAATAATTTCTCCAAATGTTAACTGGCTTTTTCATTTTCCTTAGTATGGATTTCCTTGTGTTATTATATTTAAATTTGTCTTGCTAAAATGAGAACATTATAAACAGGCAATAGGCATTACATGGTTTCATTTCTGAAAATGTGGTCCACATATGTGTGACTTAATAGTGTTGTATAGAGTGGTGGTTTTGAGATTCTTTATGCTTGTTTATTTTTAAAGGAAAAATCAGATCTGGATAAATCTGTAGAACATCGTGAGAATGAGAAACAGCTGAGCAGTAGATTTATAGAAACCACTAGAATATTGTCAGAGATTTTCTTCTGTCTCCCCTGCCCTTCGCATCCCCTTTTCTTTTGGCTCAGCACCCTATCACTGGTGCTTGGGACCAAGCCACCCACTGTGTGACTGATGGGTATGTGTTGAAAGAGTACTGATTTAATTTACTTAAGCGGTGGGTATTAATTGTTAACTCTCAAATATCCTGCAATAGATTTCTAGAATGTTGTCTGAAAAACACATTTATTACATAGCTTCTCAAAGTTTGACATATAATATTGCAGTGTCTCATCATTTTCTCCTAGAAAAAAAAAAAAGCCTTCATGTTTTCCCTGATTTGTTGTTTGTTTGAGAAGAGAAGGGAAGAAATAAGGTGGGAAATCATCCTAGATATAATCAGGCTTTAACCAATGTTTTTGGTTGAAGAAAGGATCACAATGGAGCAGAAGAAAAAAATCTGAGGAAAATCAACTTTCCAAATCATGGAGTTTGGATAGGCATATGAGTTGTTAATTTAAGGGTGTTCATTCTTTTCTCTGTGTGACATTTCATGGTAGGTGTTAGGCTGATCTTCCTCTCCATTGTTTTTCCTGCGGCAGCTTGCCTCACAGTGTTCTGAAGCCGAGAATATTAAAGTTCAGGCCTTCGCCTTGTTCACTACTGACAAGGCTCACAGTTCAGAAGCTAAGAAACACTTGTGTGAGGCCATCACTGACTTTTTTCATTTTGTTCTTTTTCCTTTAGCTCAAGCCAGGGCAGAACAGCTGCAGGGAGAGTGACAGTGAAAGTGCCAGCGCAGAATCCAAGGGCTTCCCCCGGAGCAGCTCCCGTGAACGGCTCAGTGATGTAAGTTAAGAAAAAAAAATCAAAGCCACCAGAGAACACTGTTGGTTCAGGTCTCACTGACATCAAACCCCCACCTTTGATCATTTGTGTTCCCAGATGTTGCAGCTCACACTTTCTTGGTGTATGCGTGTTTGCATGTTGCAGTTATGGTGTGATTCTAAATTGTAGTTTATCCTAAAATGTATTTGAACAGATTATAAAGTAGGTGGAAATGTCTGTTACCTTAGAAACAACAGATTACAAAGGTAAGTGTTCGTATTTTATGAGTGTTAGAAATGGGAGATCGTATCATTTAGCTGTGGGCATTCTATAATTTCCTCATTTAGGAAAATGGTAATAATTCCTTTTTTTTTTTTTTTTCCTGTAGAAGGACTAACTAATCCTGACAATTTACTTGGGAGAGAAGGAATTAAATTTGCTAACCACTTTCCATTGGGTAAACCTTCAGGGAACAAACCTTATCTTGGAGGTTCCTGTCAGCCCTGTAGACCTAATTCTAACCACTCCTCGGCCTTCAGCCCATCCACCATGGAGATTCCCCTCTGCTTTTCCTGAAAACCTCCTGCCTGCTCTGTACTCTCTTGCCTTCTTCCCCTTCTGTGTCATATTATAACTATTCTGAAAGCAACTGTGTAAAATGGATGAAGTAGAGAGAAACTTTTATTATTGTTAAAAACAAAGCAACATTAGTAGATTGAGGTGTATTAGTCCTATGAAAGGAAGAGCTACCAATTCAGTGTTCAAATGTTAAGAAATAATAGACTTATGATGTAAGCAGAAAAATCCATTATTTCTTATTTTTTATATTTTTAATGTTGTCTAGAGAAGTGGTCTTTGTTATAGTATATACGGTGAACCATTGTTATAGATTGAAAATATTTGTATTTACTTTTCATAAAAAGGAATTGTATTTTACTAATAGGGCAATAAGCAGGGAGTAGTTGATGTATAGTTTTTAAATATATGTATCTTAGAACTGTATACTCAAAACTTTTTAATTTTTTTTCCTGAGAGGTATCCACTCTCATAAAAGAATGCAGACTACTGCAGAATACTGAACCATCCCCCATGATAATGCAGCATTTGTCACTTTATCAGCCAAAGAAGACAACCCAAAGACACAACCACTTTCCTACATGTGTGTTGTTTAGGGTGAGATTTGATGGATAGGATATTTATTCAGACAAGAATTATAAATAGAATAAACAAAATAATTATTTTCATAGTATTTTCCGATATGTTACTTGTAGGCAATTACTTCTCCTTATTTTAATGTGATAAAGTTTTAATTAGATAAAGAGTACTGACTCAGTCTTGTGCTGTGAATGTTGGTGTTTTTATGTGTAAGTATGTTTGTGCATTCATGTGTTTCTTTTGTGATAGAATCACATAACCATAAAAACTCACAACTAAGTTTTTCACAGCAATTCTTAGTGCTTAACTTCTTCTGAGGTTTTGTTATACTTTTAATGTGAGATCAAACTGACTCTGGAAATTATTCCATGGTTATTTAGATTTTTTTGAAGGAGTGGAGAAATGAAAGTCATGTTAGTGCAGTGGGCAAGAGCACAGTCTTTGAGAACTGTTGACTGCTTGCTCTGAACTCACTTTGTGTTAAGATCAGAGAGTGGCAAAAGACTTTACATATATATGAGCAGGAAGATTGAGATTGAGATATTAACCCTACCCCGATCTCTTTACAGAATCAATGTATTCTAACAAAAATTAGTTTTGGATAAGTAATTTTTTGATTTGAGGATTTGAGTAACAAATGTAGTTTTTATGAAGACAAAATTGGAGGAGTCACATTTCCCAGTTTCATTGGAGGAGTCACATTTCCCAGTTTCAAAACTTAACTGCAAAGCTGCATAATCAAAACAGTGTGGTACTGGTATAACATTAGACACATAGAACAGTAGAATAGATTGAAAATCTGGAAATGGATCCATAATTATCAGGTCAACTCTTTTTGGACAAGAGAACCAATTATTCAATGGGGAAAGAATTTTCTCTTCCACAGATTGAGCTGAGGAAACAGAATCTCCACTTGGAAAACAAAATGAATTTGGACCACTACGTCACACCATTGAAGAAAAATAGCTCCAAATGGATCAGCAGCCTAAACATAAGTGCTAAAACCATAAAACTGAGAAGAAATCATACAGATATATTCTGATGAGCTTCTATTTTACAGTGAATTCTTAGATAAGATTCAACAGCATAAAATAAAAGAAATATAGGTAAATTGGATTTTAAAAACCTGTACATTAAAGGATGTTATCAAGAAAGTGAAAATAAAATGTATAGACTAGGAAAAAGTCATATATCATATAACTATTAAATGTTTAATGTCCAGAATATGTAAAGAACTCTTACAACTCAACCATAAAATTAAAAACTAAGCAAAGAATTTGAATAGTTGTTCCTGCAAATAAGAGATACAAAGGAGCAGTAAACACGTGAGAAGATAATCAAAATCATATGTCTAGAGATATGCAAATAAAAATTATGAGAAAATACTTCTTCAAACATGCTGAGATGGCCATTAAAAAACAAATAAGAAGTAGTGTTGGTAAATATGTGGATAAGTTTTCACACTCATATATTGCTGGTGGGAATATAAAATTGTATAGTCCCTGTAGAAAATAATGCCTTCCTCAAAAAGTTAAATGTAAAGTTACCATATAGCCCATAAATTCCACTTTCAAGCGTGCACTGAAAAGAATTGAAAACCAGAACTGAAAGAGACTTGTATTCCGGTCTTCACTGCAGTATTATTTCTGATAGCCAAAGGGTGAAAACAGCCAGTGTGTCCTGCCACAGATAAATGATGGAGAAAGTGTGATATACACCTTCAGTGGAATATACTCAACTGTAGAATAGTTTGGTATCCTGATACAAAGTACAGTATGGATAGACTTTTAATATATTTTGGTTAAATAAACACAGACATGGCAAAACCAAGTATTTATGACTTCAATTACCTGAAATGTCCTTAAACAGGCAAAGTATATTGACAGAAAGTAAAATAGAAGTTACTGGGGGTGGAAAGTTATTCCTTTGTAGTTACAGGGTTTTCCTTTGGAGTGATAAAACATGTTTGGAAATGGTTGCAAATGTCACAGAATATTGTGCATGTAATTAATATCATAGAATTACATACTTGAAAATGATTAAGTGGGTAATTATGTCATGTGTATTTTAGCCAATTAAATATATAAAGAAAAGTTAAGGTTGTACAATTATGTCAGTCTATATCAAACCAATGAATAAAACATGTAAAAGTACATATTGTTATTAAAATTCACTTTTGCAATAACATTATTAAAAATAAAAGAGAAATTACAAAAAATACCAAAAAACACAAACTAGTTGGTGCTTAGTAAGATATTCCAAGATCATCAGCTGCTTATTTCCTGGGATAGCAGAGTCTTACCTGGAGCACTATGGCAATGTAAAGTTTATTGAGCTGAAAATCTTTGACAAGTCAGCCTAACAAAATGATTCCCTTTAGGGGCTGAGGATTTAGCTCAGTGGCAAGACACCTACCTTTCAAGCACAAGGCCCTGAGTTTGATCCCTGGTACCGGGGGGAAAAAGAAATGTAAACAAAGTAATTCCTTTTGATACCAGAGCATCCCATACCTACATTCTAAAGAATAAAGATGTCACTGTTTTTGCTTAAAAGGAAATTACAGTAAAACCTTGGTTTATGAGAATTTTTCCTCTTGTAATCCAAAGAACTTGCATATCAAAGCAGAGAAAGAGACAGAGAGAGCCATCTGTGATCATGTGATACTTGGTGTGATGTACTACTCTTACTGCTTTTTTGTCAAGTTAACATTTCTGAGAAATGTTTGCTTTTCTTGCAGACTATTTGCAGACCAAGTTACCCAAAATTCAAGGTTTGACTGTAGTAGTTAGTTACTTTATGAATATCAGAGAGTAAAGAGATTGAGTCAGTGGCTACTATTGGGTTTTAATTTTAGTTTTTAAAGTATCTCCTACATCACTTTTAATCATCTTTATTTTTATTTCTTGAACATATGAAAAATATTTTAAACTGTTTAATGTCTTTGTGTACTAATTGTGTCTATTTTATTTGTTCTTTTCTCTCCTTATTGTAGGTCATGTTTTTCTGCTTCTTTGCATGCCTATCAGTTTGTAGTAAATGCCAGAATTATGAGTCTTTCCTCTTTGGTTGCTGAGTGGGTCTGATTTCTACCAGTGTTCCTTATTCTGTGATGTAAACGGGCTACTTGGAGAAAGTTTCATCTTTTCTTTTGTTGTTTGCTTTTGTATTTATTTGGGTCAGAACAAAACAATCTTTGTTTTTAAAGGTAACTTTCATCCAGTACTGAGGACAATACCTGATGCCTGAGGTATTAAGAGCCCCCCCCTTGGAATACAAAAATTCCCTACCTTTTGGAGTTTAAAAATGGTTCTCCAGGGCCAAGGATTTAGCTTAGCGGTTCGGTGGCCTGCCTCGCAAGCGCAAGGACCCGAGTTCAATCCCCGGTACCAAAAAGAAAAGAAAAGAAAAAAAAAGGTTCTTCCAGCTCCTTCTGCTGATTTCCCTTGCCTCAGATATTTTTCTTCCACAGATATACAGATGAGTACTCAGTTGGAGACAAGCAGGAGTGCTCTACAGCTTTCTTGTTTCTTTTTCTAAAGCTGTAGCCAGAGATTTAGCTCAGTGGTTCTGCCGCCTGCCTCTTTTTCTAAAGTTGCAATCCTGCTCTCCTCACCTCCACCTGTGAGAAATGTGTTCACTTGTGTAGACCTAAGAAATGGATTCAAATGCAGGAAGACCAGAAAAAGCAAGGCTTTAACTGAGTCTTGAAAGGCTGAACGTCTGGTAGAAAGGCACACCAAGGGCCATAACAGGGAGCAGTTTAACTCCTACATGCAGGTTTCTTGTCCCTTTTTCTCTTTGGCTGAGTACTACAGGGGTTGTTGCTGCCTAGGTGCTTGGCCCATTCCCTCTACAAACAGTGGGTT